AAAGATAAATCCTACTCCTAGGGGTGCGCCTGGCTGGCTCAGTCGGTTAAGCGTCTGACTTTGGCTCAGGTCATGATCTCGCAGTTTCTAATTCTCTCTCTCTCTCTCTCTGCCCCTCCCCTGCTTGTGCTCTCTCAAAAATAAACATTAAAAAAAATTTTAAATCTCCTCACGTATATTTTTACTTAAATTTGTTATAAAACAAACACAATTTCAAATAATAGCTGTAAAAAAGATGGGTTCGGTAAACGAGTTCATTTTTGTCCCTAGTATCTATTTAAAAAAGGCATCGTAATGTAAAAAATTATTTTACTGCTTAAATCTCTTACCACGTACCTTGGCACGCAAAGAGTTAGTGTGTGGTCTAAGGTGGGACCTGTGGCTCTTAGGCCACCGGGCTGGCACCGCCCTTCCTGAGTGCCCAGGGCAACCAGAGTGACTTTGCTAAGCTGCAAGCGGCCTCCTGCCACTCCCTCCACACCTTGGGTGGAGCCCAGCATGTAAACAACACCACCAGCTCACTGCCCAGGCCTTCACGAGTGGCAGTAACTCGCTTTTAATGCCCCCAGCGAGAAAGGAGACAACTATCAGAGTCATCCCAATTTACAGCTGGGCAAACTGAGGCACAGAGCTATGACCAGGCCTAAGAGGCAGAACCAGGGTGGGAACTCTGGCCCCAGGAGGCCTGGGCTCCGGTCATGCTGACCCCTCACCCCATCTCATCTGGGGCCTTTTCGGGCTCCCAGGCCCTTGCCCAAACCCTGCCCTCCACCCAGCAGGCCCCGCTGTCCACTTAGCAGGTACTCCTTCCCCTCCCACATGCTGATCACCTCCCTGCCTGCTGGCTACCTTGTTCAACTGACTCGTGCAACCTTATAGCTTCCCCCACACGACCAACACGGCACACCAAAATGGACGAAATGCACTGGAGAGAGAAAAAGTCCCAGAAGTTCTGGAAATGTGAAGAGTAAAGAGGCACAAAGGGCAGGGAGGGCCAGGACACCTGCCCCTGCTCCCAGGGCAGAATGGGGCAGGCCTCAGGATGCTCACTGCCTGGTCCTCGGGGCCCAAGGGATCATGGGGACAGCCTGCAGGGCATTCAGAGAAGGCCCCCTCTGACATCCCTGATAATGTCACAGCCCCTGTGGGAGAGGCCAGGAGGCCTCCCCAGGAAGGAGGCTGGCCCTGGGCCGAGGGAGGTAGAGGTGCGTCCTCAGCCCCTCCTGGCGCAAGGCTCCCCACAGCCAGCGGCCAGCAGCCGGCGAGTAGGGTCCCTGGGCCTCCTCCCACCCCTTCCACTTGGATGCTCGATAAATGAGCGCTAGGAGTGTCCGGGGCACAGGCCGCTCTTGCCCGGTCCGGGGGGAAGCAGCCTCTGAGGTCAGGCGATCAGCCTTCCCACTAAACCTCCCCCGGGGACCCTGGGGTCAGACCTCACCAGCCCGAGGCGAAAGCTGTGCCCGAGAGGAGTGCGACCACCGGAGAGGCTGGGCCCGGCTGCGAGATCTCAGGGCCCCCACAGAGAAGGGCCGCCTACTCAGACCCACAGACGCAGGCGCCCCCGGCCCCCAAGGAGCCCTCGCTGGGCACCCAAGCCTTCCTAGCCTGGATGAGGGGGTCCACATGCAGAGCTCCTCCCTGGACCTCCCCAACTCCTGCTCCTGGGCTCCCCCCACCCCCCACCGACACAGGCTGGGGCTCCCACGGTGAATTCAAGCTTTATTGCCACACACAGACTCTCCTGCTTCCTCTGGGCCAACTCCACGCCAGGCAGAAGCCGGCTTGCTGGGCTTGGCCTGGAAGCAAACACGCCACGGCCGGAACAGAGGGGGGAGGGAGGAGGTCTGGGGAAGGGAGGCCCTAAGAGACCCCGACCCCAGGTTTCCCTGAGTGGCGCCCAGCCCCAGGGCCTTGGGGGCTGGCTCGTGTTGGGGGAAGGGGCTCATCCTGACTCTCCTCTGGGGCCCCCAGACCTGTGGGGGGAGGGGCACCCCACCGAGCCCCCTCTGCCCCCGCCGTGCCCCCGAGGGGCCAAGAAACAGAAAGAGCTGCACGTGCATGTGCGCCCACACGTGCCGCCACAGGGGGCCCTCGCCAGCCGGCAGTCAGCAGTCCAGGCCGATGGACACCAGCAAGTCCTCAAGCGCCCGCAGCCGCTGCTGTGCCTCCTCGATGGCGCTGTAGGTCTGCACCGTGCTGGCCACGTGGAAGCGGATGTCGTCCACCAGCGGGATGGAGTCCGTCTCCTGCCGGGCGGCCACGGCCGCCGCCTCCTCCCGCACGGCCTCCACGAAGTCCTCCCGCTCCACCAGCTGCGGGCAGGCCAGCTCAGGGCGACGCCAGCCGCCTGCCCGCAGCCCACCCCGCCCACCACGGCTCCCACGGGCCCACCTTCTCGATGACCTTGGCCATGTACTCGGTGCACTGGTCCTCGAGGCGCGCCAAGCGGAACAGCTTGGCCACACGCCACACGCCCACCACACTGTCCTCGTCCAGCAGCTGGGCCAGGCTGCGGCCACACAGCCGCTTCAGGCCTGGCAACAGGTACATGTCGGCCACGCTCAGCACGTCGTAGGCCGCCTCCGGGGGCAGCTGCGGAGAAAGGAGGAGTGAGGGAGGGTGTGCCCAGAGGTCACCGAGGACACTCGGGGGGCTGGCAGCAAGGTTGGGAGCTGTTAGGGAGAGGGCGGAGGATGCAGGCAGGGCAGGGGCTCCCACCCATGCCTTGGGGTGCCCAGACCGCTGCAGGCATCCGTGGGCCTAGAGGGCTGGAGGACCTGGGGTCCCCGTGCCTCGGGCAGGCCTGGAGGCCAGGTGGCAGGCAGGGCCTTAGCAGGGGAAAGAGCTCGGGTTGTGAATCACAGACCTGTGCTGTGGAATTCTAGCTGTGGGACTGCAGGCAAGTTACTTCACCTCTGTGTGCCTCAGTTTCCTCTCTGGGAGGTGCAACCATGCCTGCCTCAAAAGGTTGTCGGAAAACAGAAGGTGCTATCCAAACGGAGGCACCCACACGAAGGGTGATGGAGTTAACTCTTTCCCTGCTCTCTCCCACCCACACCTGGACCCTGTGCTGGGAGAGACCATGTGCTCAGTTCCGGTCCAGACTTTGGACAGTCACAGGGAACAGGCTGGAGACAGAGTGGGCAGGACCTCTGCTAGCACATCCCAGGCCACGCACACTGCTTACTTGGGCCAGGCACTTTCCCTGCGACACACACATCCACCTGCACAAGACCTTAAGAGAGAACAACTATGGGCATCCCTGCTTTCTAGAAGGGGGAAACTGAGGCACAGAGCAGTTCAGTAACCAGCCCAAGATCACACAGCTTGCGAGCAGCTAACCCAGTGCCAAACCAGGTTTGGAGCCCAAGTCCACACTTTGAGCCAGCCGCAAAGCTCACGAGGGGTGGGGATGGGACAGGGTGGACCCTGGGTGGCAGGGGCCACAGAGCTGAGCTGTGCCGCAGGAGAAATGAAGCTGAGGAGGCAGGAGGAAAAGAGGCCCGGGAGGGCACTCAGGTGGAGAGGCTGGTGGGCTTAGGAATGGGGGTGCTACATGAAGCGAGCAAGCAAGGGGCTGAGGCCACAGCCCAGCTTGTCCCCCATGCCCTCCTCCTGCCTGGAGACCACCTTTCCCAGCCTGCCATGTTGGCAAGCACAGCCGCTAAGTTCTCTCCAGGGCAACATGAGAACCAGCGTGCGTGCGTGTGTGTGGCCTCCACCTGGCCTATGACAAAGACACTGCTTGCCTAGTCTTCCTCTTCCTCCTAAAACGTGAGCTGGCCTGCACACCAATCTCCAGATGCAGAGGGGAACAACACCCTGGGTGCTGCGGACCAGGTCTGGCCCACCCCGTGTTTTGTAACCAAGTGTTACTGGAACGCAGCCACACCCACTCACTTCTGCCCCAGCTCCCGGCTCCACAGGAGGGGAGAGCTCACGGGCTGGGACTGAGACCCCCTGACACACGGCATTTACACACACACACACACACACACACACACACACACACACACACACTTCTGGCCCTATCTACGGCTATTCATGTTGCCCGTATGTTAGGAATGCTCTGGGGCAACTGAAGACAACTGAAGACCCGGAGAGGCACCAAGAGAGCTGGGGACAGACATCCAGACCCCTGGGAGTGGACAGCCTCAGAGTTCCCCACTGCTGTGGTAACTCAGGGTTACTGTCCCTACCCACCCTCCCTCTGGAGAAGAGAAGGCGGGGACCCCGGAGGCTGATACTAAGTTCCAAGTGTCACGGGCTCATGATACAGCTCTTGTCACTCGTTTCTGTTCTAGAACCTACCAAGGCCCCCTCAGCCTGAAAGAAAAATCCAAACATGTCCCCCACTCCGTCTCCAGCCTCACAGAAAACCAGCCCCATGGAGTCAGTCAGGACCTAGGCACTCCTTTCAGCCCCACGGTGACCCAGCCTGTGGACCTGTCCTGATTCCTGACTGTCACGCCCCCAAGCCCAGCAGACGCAACCCGCCCGAGCCCCGCACCTCTGTGTGGTCACTGTATATGTAGTAGAGAACATGGGTGAAGATGTCAGGCGAGATGCCATGTAGGGTGATGGCCGGGAGGCCGCCTGAGGCCTCCAGCTCCTCGTTCTCTCGGAAGTGGTCGTCCAGCAGGGCCCGGAAGTAGTCGCTTCGGCCGCAGAAGAAGGCCTGGGGGAGGCTGGGCTCAGGAGGGGCCGCTGCTAGGGTCTGTGGCCAGAGAGCTGGCCGGAGAATTAAGGCAAGGGGCTGGTGGGCTGGGGGGAAGGGACGGCACCTTGTGGCAGAGAAAGCTGCAACCTTCCACCCGGAAGCAGACGTCAGGACAGCTGTTGAAACCATCGGGGAAAGGGAAGGGCAGCTCCCCGAGGTCACCCTGGGGGATGGGAGAGAAGACACCATCAGAGCAGGGGCAACAAGAGAGAGTGGCCGGCCCCAGCCAAGAGCCTGCTTTAGCTCCGTCCTGGCGGGGTGGGCTGCTGCCCCATCTGCAGGTTTGGGGAGGGGCGACAAAGGTAACCTGGGCTCAGAAAAGGGAAGTGACTGGCCCCCGGTCACACAAGGACTGAACCCAAGCATGGGGCTCGTGTACCACGGCTGCGTGCGCACCAGGCCCGGCCCCGGGCGGCCGTGCACTTACGCGGAGCTCAGGGGGCAGGGCACAGTCGGCCAGCAGGGCCATGTCCTCCCGAAGCCGGGGGTCTGCTGGGGGGGGCTCAATGGTCAGCACCTTCACGCACGTGCCTGGCTTGGACGCCACTGTGGAGGGGAGAGCACAGCTGCAGGGAGCCCACTGACCCTGCCAGTTCCCGCCCAATGCCCCGGACCCTAAGCCTGGACGCACCGAACTCGGACACCTTCTCACACTTGGCCTCCAGGTCACTGAGCAGATCCCACAGCTGGCACTGCTTGGCCAGGCGCTCGCAGTCACTAACATGCTCCACACCGACGTCCAGGCGACCTGGGTGCAGCGCAGGAGGCTCAGAGCCTGAGAGGGGCCGTCCACTGTCCCCGACGCTGGGACTCCTGGGTCTGCTGGCTGCCTCAGCTTTCCCATCAGGAGCCACTGCCTGAGTTCTACAGACCCCGGGACGCGTGGGAGGGGGCTCGGTTTATGGGCAGGGTGCTTCCTGAGCGGACGCACAGGCTCATCGCCTCCCAGCCCACCCAGGAGGCAGCTGGAACAGCACCACACTGCAGGGGACAAGCACCAGGACGTAAAGGGTGGGCCTGAGGCCACAGCTGGGTCTGCTGCTGGACAGACACCCCCTCCCTGCCGGCCCCACGGGGCCCGGAGGCTCACCTGTGTACAGGTACTGCAGCAGGGCCCCGAAGGCCACAGGGTTGATCTGCAGGTAGACACAGCCAGGAGGGAAGGTCGGAGGTGGCCCCCTAGCACGAGCCGCCAGCCGTCCCTCTGTCCCCCCCCCCGGGAGGGACGCACCAGTGGGTGTCGGAGGACCACGACACTCTTGCCCTTCCATTTGGTGTCCAGCATGTTGGCAAAGTAGGTGCTGCGTGCACCCAGGACGCAGCGGTGTGCCCGGAAGGGCTTCCCGTGCACCACAAAAATCACGTCGCTGTGGATGCCTTGTTCCAGAAGCCTGCAGAGGGACAGGCAAAGGGGGTGTGCAGCATGTGCCTCCCCGCGGTCTCACCACAGCAGCCCCCGTCCCATCCTGCAGGAGAGCCCTCGGCCCCGCATGACCACCCCACGCCACACACAAGCCAGCCCTGCACCCCATCTCACCGCTGCAGGAAGTCGTCGTAGTAATCCCGCCTCCTGCAAGAGGCTGTCACCTGCTTGTAATCGCGCAGGGCCCGGCGGATGGCGTCGCTCAGCGCCCCATAGAGGCAGCGCTCCCCATCAAAGGTGTTGGCCTCACAGCGGGCTCCTGGGAGCAGCCCCCACCAGTCAGCAGGTCAGGGATTTGAACACTGCAGCTGGGACAGGGTCGTCTGGGGGAAATCCTAATCTCCCCCCCCCCCCCCCCCCCCCCCCATCCCACAGCCTTCCCACACGTCGGGCCAAGCCCTGGAACTTGCAGCCCCTCCCAAATGACCCTGGGCCCCCTCTGACGCGAGCATCCTCTCTGCCAGGGCCTAGGCACGCAAGTACTTCCATGGACCACAGACTACAAACAGGGCAGGCTCAAGACTGCCCCTGTTCTATGCACCAGGGACACAGCCTTAAACATACAAATCCCTGTCCTGCCTGAAGTGACACTTTAGTGGGGCAACGGACAATAAGCAGGTTAACAAATGATGTCAGGTGCTATGAAGAAAACCAAAGCAAGACAAAGATAACGGAGGTTGCACCTGCCCACAGGGAGGTCACGGAAGGTCACCGTGTCAGTGACAACACGCAGTGACCTGAATGGCGGAGGGAGTCGGCCACGCAAAGATCTGGGAAAGGGTACTTTACGTAGGAAGAACAGCAAGTACAAAGACCCTGAGGTAGGAGCACCAGAGAGGCCAGCGCAGGTGGAAGAGTGAGCCCACAGGAGAGCCAAAGTAGGTGTGGCCAGAGGAAGACGACAGGCTGTGTGGACTGACAAGGCATTATAGTTTCATGCTAAACGCAAAGGGAAATCACTGGAGAAATTGTAAGCCTATTAGACTTGTTGTGAGATGGACCAGGCTGCGATATGGAGAACAGACTGTAGGTGGGGCAAGAGGGGCGGCGGGTGACCGGAGGAGGCTGGCTCTGTGGCCAGGGAGAAATGCTGTAGCCCGGCTGGGCGGTGGCAGTGGAGATGGGGAAGTGGGCAAACAGGAAAACAGGTTCTGAAGGTAGAACCAAGAGTACTGGCTGACTGGGTATGTGGAGGGGTAAAGGAAGGACAGGGCGTGAGGGCATCGGCCAATGCACACCCATGCCTTTGTGCCCCCGCACACGCGCAGACCGCACGTACACGCACACATCCCCGGCCCCTTCTCTCACCATTGGCCAGAAGATAGAGTACTAGCTCCTCGTGCCCACACAGGCAGGCGTAGTACCTGAGGGAGGGAGAGGAGTACAGGAGGCAGTTATTGGGACTGAAGGCGCCCCCCACCTGCCCTGACCACCCACCCGCCCGGCACTCACAAGGGGGTGCTGTCCCACTTGTCCCGCACATTCACCTCCACGTCCCGCTGCTCCAGCAGGTACCTAGGCGGGGAGGAAGTCAAACCTGGGTCAGGACAAGTTCATGGTCTGGGAGAGGAGACCCATGGAGTGGGGAAAGAGAGAAGACATCCCTTTTGGCTGGGGGAAGTCTCCCGTTAGGTGAAGGCAGATGACAAGCAGACCAGAGCAGGAAAGACATTCGAAGCAAAGGGACCAACATAGGTAGAGAGTGTAGATGTGAACGCCTAAGGCAGATGCTGAGACTGCGAGCAGTAGGGACCTCTGGCCTGAAGGCATTTGGGAGCGAGGAGGCAACGATGGGCCATCTGTTCTGCCACAGCCCTCTGGCTGCTTGGGACCACAGACTAGATAGAGGAGACTGGAAGTAGGGAAGCCAAGGAGAAGGCTGCTGCAAGTGTCCTGGTGGTGGTGTGGAAGCATGAAGAGAAGTGGCCAGATTCTAGAAGGCAGAAGTCAGGAGACATGGTGGCTGACGGGATGTGAGAGGTGACGGGGGTCATCATGGACTGAAGCCATCACTGAGGTCAGGCAGCCTGGGGGAGATGTCTAAGTTGGACCAGGCGTGCTCTGAATTGCACTCGGCTTTGGGGGGTATCAGCTAACTCCTAGGTGAACCTGATGCTGGGGTGGGACCAGGGACACCGTGGGAGTCAGCAACCCTGGGACTAACCCAAGGGAGCTAGTGGTGGGTCAAAACTAGGGAACACGGAAGGGCCCAATAAGAGATGTGCCTCACATCCCAACCAGGCACCCCCTCACTCCCTGCTTTATGGCGATTTCAGTGCCAGATTTGTTTTAACCGCATTTAGGAGTTTCCGAATCTCCGGGATCAGAGGTTGATTCTGGGTCCTAGTTGTCCCAGAGTGCCAGGCCCAGAGCGGATCATTGGGATGAGCCACGTCTGGAGTCCCAGGCCCGCCCCAGGGTTTGACCTCCGGGTCCTGAGCGCTCAGAGGACGACCCCCTCCTCTCCGCCCACTTCTCCGGAGCTCCGCGTAGCAGTTCTCTCCTCTAGGAAGCCCTCCGGGACCCCAAGGAGTAAATCACCGCCAGCACTCCGTCCCCAGCCCCGGTTCGGAAGGTTGCCGCGGCCCCCTGTTTGCCTCTTGGGGGTAGATCAGCCGAGGGTCGGCCGCCAGGACTGCGGCGGCACAGGGGCGCGCGCCTGTCCCGAGCCCGTCCACTGCACGCCCCGGGGGGCGCCCCGCCCCACCCCCCGCACACTCCCAGGGCGCCGGGGTCCTCACCGCACTCGGCCCACATCCCCCTTCCTGCAGCTGGCGAAGAGATCGCTGGTGTCCATGATGCGGGCGGCTCAGACCCCGGCCGAACGACCTCAGGTGGCGGCGGCGGCGGCGGCGGCGGCGGCAGCGCGCCCCGGCCGGATGTAAACACACGCCGACCCCGCCCCGCTCCGCAGCGGCGCCTGGCGCCCGGAGGACCGACCTGGGCCGCGCAGCCCCGCCCCCTGCGCCCCCGCCCCGCCCCCGCCCCGCCCCGCCGCGGAGCAAGAACGAGTCCGGCAGGCAAACGGGCTGGGCCCGGCGTGGTCTCCGGGCGGCTTTAATGGGGGTCCCGGGGCGCGGCCGGGGAAGCGGGGCCGTTCCGGGACCGGCTCCTGGGGGCGCCAGACGGGGATGGGGAGGGCTGTGCCGAGACTGTTCCGTGAGTCTGTGGGAAGCGGGAGGACCCCGCACCGAGGGCCGGGCTGCGGGAGAGCGGCCGGGGCCGGGAGGGGAGGGGAGGCGCGGTTGTCCGCTCCGGATCCGCCCAGCTCGTCCCGGCGCAGTCCCAACGGGGCGAGGGTACGGCCGCGGGGTCACAGCGGGCCAGAGCTGCCGGAGGGCGCCCTCACAGGTGCGTGTCCTCCTCAAACACGTCCGAGTCCTCAGGGTCCCGCTTGCCCCCCATGAGCGCGCTCCAGCCCCCCGGGCCGTTGACGGCCCCGCCGCCGTTCAGGCTGGGCTGCTTCTCCTGCATCTCCGACTGGCTGTCGCTGGCCACGTCCAGCGTGGGGTTGTCGTGGCAGCCGTTCTCTACGAAGCGCAGCTCCTCGCCGTGGGACTGTGGCGACGGGAGAGGGACGCTGGGCAAGCGCTGTGGCCCAGGCCCCAGCCCGCCTGTGACCTTGAACGAGTCACCTCACTCGCGGTTCCTTCCCTAGTGTGTGAAACCCTCCACAGGCAACCACCAGCGGACCCTCCACAGACGCCCGCTCCCTACTGTTCTGTCCCCCAAACTCCTAAAGATCCTTTGCACTAAACAACCGGTGGCCTCCCTGGTGTCATCTGAGCCCTCCCAATGGCCCCCCACTGCACCTCTAGCACCTATCACGGGGCTGCTTCCCTGCAGAGGGAGACAGGTTGGGTGCCAGGCTCCGGACAAGCAGCTTCACTCGAAGTACCCCATCCCGGGACAATCGCGGCCACCCCACCTGCACATGAGGACGACGACCTTGACCTTGTGGGGTACTGTCTCCACCACAGGCCCCGCCCCCAGCCCAAGCCATCTGGCCGAACTTGACCCCATGCTCACCACGTGTTTGAGCTTGGGCAGCCGCCGCTGCCAGCAGTTATAGAGCAGGCCCAGCACGATGATGATCACACAGATGGCACCGATGACCACCAGCACCACAAAGAGCGTCCCATAGTCGCTGCGCACCTGGCTGGCCCGGGCCTGGCAGCTGCTCGTAGTGGAGTAGTTCTGGATGCCAATCTGGGGGTGGGAGGGATCAGCTTCCTCAGCTGAGGTCCTGGGTGCCAGGGCTTCCCACAGGGCCGTGGGGTTAGGGCTCAGGCACAGGGAACAGGCTTTGAGAAGAGCTGGCATAATCCTGACTAAGCCCCCTTGGAGGCCGGGACCTGTGCTCATCTGGGAATCTAGCCCTATCTCTGCCCTATCCCGCTCTGTTCACCTGACAGCAGCCCCAAGCCTCTTGATCCCATGCCTCCATTCCCAGCCTTCCCGCACATTGCCACCATGGCTCTGCCCTGACTCTGTCCCTGCTGGGGCAGAAGTTTGGCTCCACTACGGAATCAGGTCCCTGAAACAGTCTCCACCTTGGGGATGGAGGTGTTCAGGTATCATTCTGACCATTATGGGCTATAGACAGTGTAGACTGGGATGCTGGGGACAGCCTACATCCCGGGCTATCACCAGCTCCCAGCTTCCTCCCTTTGCCCGTTAAGAGTAGTCACCACAGGCATTGAGCTGCCCAGTACCCCTGCCACAGAGCAGGCTGTCTTGGGCGGGTCTGCCTTCTTGGTCCTAGAGGTTGCTGTGCCCACACCGGGCCAGGCAAGCACTCTCTCCATAACTCAGCCTCTTGGGCAGAAAGCAAGGAAGGGGAGATGCCATCCTCATCCGATGACAGGTGCTGGGGAGAGGGTGCTGTCTACTAGCCCCCAGTGTAGAGACCTGGGAACCTCCCTTTCTGCTTTGGGCTTCCCTAAGGCCAGGTTGTCATCTCTTCCTGAGTGTCTGTGAACATCCTGTTTAGTTACAGTACTATTCTCCATTGGCTTTTGAAGTTATCAAAGATCAGTTTCTCTCTGTAGAATCACCCACCAATGACACTGCTAAATTTTCCCACTCATATACTTCCAAAAAGACACAGCATGCCTTCTGGCCAAGTCAGTCTGAACAGTGTCCAGTAAAGCTAGAACACCCAGGGGCCAGGAGAAGAGGCAGGAAGTTTTTGTGGGAAAAAAAAAAGATCAAGGCCAGCCCAAGTTTCCTTCCACCAGTCCCCCTGTGTTCACGAACCCAGAACTTCACAACTGGAAAGGCCCTCGGTAACCATCCAGGTAGTGAGGACAGCCTCACGGTTAAAGGCCTGGACTCTTAACATCATTCAGGCCTCGTCTGAAGCCTGGCTCTGTTGCGTAGTGGCTGTGCCTTCTCAGGTGGGCCACCTCCCTTCTCTGGGCTACAGCTCTCACATACAGCACCTACGTACTCCATAGGTACCTTATTTAATCCTGACAAGGCCTGGGGTGGCGGTGAGGGCCAAGTGAGAGAACCCAGCGCAGTCCAGTACTTAGTAAGCACTCAGTGTGCTTATCAAAAACACCCAAAACCACCACCACAACCACCTTTCCGCCTGGCATGTGATAGATAGGGAGGCAGGGCCCATGGTCACGGCCAATTCATCTTTCACAGCTATGAAATGCTGCAGAGCCTCGGAAAAGGGGACTAATGCCAGGTCACTGGGTTCCACAGTGAGTACGAGTACTTTGGATGGAGATGAATGGTGATGGTCCTGAAGAAAGGAGGTGAGGAGCCCAAGGTGTTTCCCTTCAGAAAAAGTACAAGGACCAGGAGGACCGAGGGGACCTGCCCCTCCCACAGGCCCCAGCTCTGCTCAGCCTGACGCAGGGGTAGCAGGTGGTGCAGGAGGAGAGGTTGGCCAGCCTGCCCTCCAGCCCACATCTCCAGGACTGGCCATGCAGCTGGCCAACCGCACAGGGGTCAGGGATGCCCCTCAAGATGGCAGGGCTGTCGCCCGAGCCTGAGCCCCATGCCCACTCCCCAGCAGGCCCTCTCCCACCAGAGAGCTCCTGGCTGATGGCCTCCGGGCCGTGTTCATGCCTGTCTTTCCCCTGTGGTTTCTGAGACTGCGGCACACTCTCCCAGCCCACCAGGCCTCTGCCCAGTTCCTGGGCCAGACATGGTGTCGCTCCTGCTATCTTCCCAGAAACGCCCACTTACCAGTCCAGATCCCCCTCGGAGGTCCCCTTCCCTCTGAGTCCTCTCCTGCCCCCGACCCGCTCCTGGCCCTTCCCGCCCCTGGCCGTTTCGCGAACTGTGCAGTTGTGCACACACGTGTGTACGCACTCCGTCTCTCCCACGGGAATGGCGTCTTAGGACAGCTAAAAGGAGGAGCTGCCCAGAGCAAGAGGCTGTCTTCTGCTCCTTCGCACCGCGGTGCAGGTTGTCTCCTGCCCTCAGGGAAGCCAGCCCTGCTCCCAGAACTTCAAAGAACAGGAGGGGAGCGGCTCCCTGCCCTCTTACCTCCACCAGATTCCTGCGGATGTCTCCCAGCATGGACAGGACGTCTTGAGTGGGCACCACCCCTGGGGGGGAGACACCATCATCAGCACAGCCCCGGCCACTGAGGCACCCCCAGCCCCCTGGGACAGCCTCCGGCCTAAGCTTCCAGAACCTTGCTTCCCAGCTCTTGACCACACGTGGACCTCATGGTACATGTGCTCCTATGCTTGCTTCCTGCTGGCTGACTCATTAAAAAGGACTGAATGACCGCCATGTGACAGGTGTGACACCAGGCGGTCACTCCCACAGCCCCCCAGCACTGCGTTCTGAACGTGCCCCCTCCACAGCCCCCTACCACTAAGTGTACGCCCCCCCGTGCTAAAACCACACCTCTTCCCCTCTGGGTCCGAACTTCACACCCTCGTCTTCTCCAACTCCAGCTTGTCAATACTCCCTGAACCCTGCACTGGGGGCCCAACCACTACCACATCCTCTTATCCCAGAGGTCCACGTTCAAAGCCCCTGTCCGTGCACTCGCCCGTGGTTCTGCAGACCTCCCGTGGCCCTCAGGACATGGTGCTGGTGTAGGGCTGCCCCCCTAGGCCCTCCCTTCCGTGGGCTGTCCCCTCTCACCCTGCTCGCCCACCAAGGTCATTAGAAGGTGCTGCTCCTTCTCGCTGGGCTTGCTCAGGGAGATGTGCCAGTCCCCGTGGCGGCCACTGCCGTGGCGGGGCAGCACCTCCTCCACCAGGGCCAGGAGCTGCAGCCCCCGGTGCTGCCGGAACACCTCCTACAAGGACGGAAAGAGAGCCCCACGCTCAGTGAGGGAGGGGCCCGCCTCCAGGCCCGGCCCCCATTCCAGCCCCCAGCCTCCAGCCTCCCGGTGGTCAAACTCCGGGACAGGCCATCTGGCTGCTCCAGAGGGGACCGCTCGAGAGGCCGTGAGCGTGGCCTTCGGGCAAGACTGTGGGAACACGGAGACGCACACCCACTGGTTCCGGCAGGCATCTGGGAGCTCCTTCCAGCCTGGGCTTCTCATATGAGGAGGGCATGGGCCTGCCCAGGGACACTCACAGCTGACCTGGGAACAGATATGCTCGCACGAACAAGGAGTGTGGGGAGCTTGTGAGTGGTGTGTGAAGGCCTAGGGCAGTCTGCTGGTCAGGCCTGGGGTTCAAGAGTATAGTGCGAGGGGTGAATATACCCGGGGGGGGGGGGCGTCAGGGGTGCAACGGACCAAAGATGCGCACGGCCACGCAGCCACGGAACCCGGGAGGGGGGTGGTGGGGAGAGGTAACGTGCTCCTCTCTTGCCTGTCATTGCAGAGATACGGCCCAAAGCTGGGGAGTCGAAAAGATGTCTGACCACCTTTATGGAGGCAGCGGTGACCAAAGGAACTAAAACAGACATGGTTAA